CCAAGGCATAGTGCAATTAAAGTTGTGGTTGAAATCAAAGAACTCGAATCGGTTAGATATTACGATTGCTCTGTCTAAATTGAAAATAATTTATTTCTTTTTGGCTTCAAATTTATATATTTTTGTGGCGTATGTAGCTTGCGGATGTCAGAGCCGCCAGCCGACCAACTATTAGACAATGCAGCACTGGTCAAAGTACGAGGAAGTGCCAGTTGCATAGTTGGAGATCCCATTTGAAATTTGACAGCCTTGCCATCGGGTAGTTGCTGCTGATAAAATGTTAACTACTCAGACCAGTAGCGCGCACCCCGCTGAGTAAATTTGAGAGAAAGCATGGTAAGGAGAGAAGGAAGAAAAACATAAATTTTAACTTTTCTATTAAGTTTTTTCAAATTCAGGTGCATACTTTTCCTAGAGCAATTTCGTTATCAGTGCCGGAAAATGCACCTCTTGGAACGATTATAACCAACCTAGCACCCAGTAATGAATCGCAGCGTTTCGAATTCCAAAAACCCGGTACTCCAGACGACTATCCAATTCGGATACTTCCATCCGGCGAAGTTTATGTTGCTTCCGAAATTGATCGCGAAACCGTGGAATATTTTTCTATTCCCATTACTGCTGTAACGGTGAATAAGGATGGATTTTCAAGCAAACAGGATTTTGTGCTTCGATTGTATGTAGAGGTATGTTTTGCTCATGCAAATATTTATCCTAAAGATGGCGCGATTTTGATTACGATAAAATATAAGATCAGCAAGGATGAGGTTGTGGCACCTAGTGAAGGAATGGCGCACTCTTACTATCTTTTCCATTTGCAGGAAGAGCGAGTGAATGTGCGCCACTCCAAAGCAATTTTCAAATTTTCCTGATGAAATATCTTTCTTTTTTTTCAAGGATCTCAATGATAATGCGCCAGAATGTCCCGAACAAAACAGTTTCGTCGTATCTGAAAATAACATTCCTGGAGCTATCGTAGGAGTATTCAGTGCCATTGACAGGGATAGCGGCTTAAATGGCACAGTATTTTATGAATTGATGTACGACAATAGCAAAATATTCAAT